GGTTTCCAACCAGGTTCAAGCGAAACATGCATTGGAAGAGATTAGAGACATGGAGATGGTGGTGGTAGAGGAAGACAACGATTCCATCTGTCCTTTACTGTACTAGCAATGGAATTGGGAAATACTCGATATGATCATGTACCGGCTTCTCAAGAGTTGTGGGCATCTTAGTGATAGCAGAGTAAGACATCGAGTCGATGATCTCATTTCCTGGGGACATGAAATGTGACATCGCAGGTTCGGCTTGATAATGTGAAACTTTCGATCTTACACTTCAGGTCCATGTTCACGGGAAACCTTTCATATGTTCCTGAAGAAGGTTTTGCATTTTGTTGAAGGATATATAAGATCACACGACATATCACACCAACGATAATCACACCCAAATGGACTTATGGATGCAATTTGTTGGAAAATTCACTCCCGTCAGCCATACGGTAAATCGTGAATATGTGTCCATAAGCACGCAGTGAATCCTCGGGTACGGGCACTATGTGTTTGCTTACCTCTAGAGTCATTGAAGCCTTTGTAGATGGATTGCTGGGGCAGCTCCAGTGGTATGGTATCTAAGAACATGCTCGAATGTCACCAACATTTGCAAGAAAGGTTCGGTGGCTTGGTCACAACACATCCCAACATCTTGTCGTAAACAACTCATATGTATGGAAAGAAGACTTTGTTAAAAAACGGGGGAATTTACGACCACATGATGAAGATCTAACTTTAATAGAAGAGGTAACTATTCTATCAACTCTCAAGAGCTCTACTGCCTCGTGATGAGTATCATCAATTCTTCAACACTTTCAGTTCCAATTTAGATGCAGAATTCCATGTTGGATGAGTTCAAAATGCTAGGTGAAAATGAGACTTATTTACTTGTATATTGATGTATTTCAAAATAAATATTACAACATATTTCCAGTACTCAAGTTCTAAAAAATCATACAATATCTCTTAAATAATAACAGTAACATATTTTTGAGCATTATATAAACATGTTTGTATATAAAAATCATATTGAGCTAAAACAGACTTGAAAGAGCATATTATTATATTAAACTGAATAAATATTTTTTTCGAAGCGTGATATGATAACACACATGATCGAAAAAATATTTCGTGCCAAATTTTTAAGAGAGCTAGAAAACCATATCACTAAAAAATTCTGGATGTAAAGTATGTTTTTAATAATGATATATATATATATATATATCCACGTATTCTTTATAATATTTGCAAAGAAACACTCGCTATAATATTTTAGGCAAACCTGTGTACTTTTGAAAGGAAATAATGGCATTTTCGGGGCTAAATTTCGTTGGGGGCATAGTCAATTCATAGATTAATTTTGTGACCCTAATGAAGTCGCATGGTGGGTCACTCGGTAGCCCTTGGTTACATCCATCATTAGCAGCTGTCTTCGTCTAAGCCTATGAAACCCGTACAGTCAAGACTTAAAGAGACCCCTGAGACAGGAACTAACCTGCACCTTACGTAACGTGTAACATCTCAGGTCGCCCTACATGTACCTGGGCGATGACCAAAGCCAGAGTAAGTTGAATCAAAGAACCGAAGGTACGTGTACTAACACTCAGGAACGTAATGCTTTATACGGTCAATCTGCCTCCTTACTCTTTGCCATATGCATAGAAATGAAGACGGTACGAGGCTCAGAATATAATCGTATCCACTTAGGAATGCCTTTCTGTGAATAATATATCACCTTGATAACTTATTGATAGTCAATACCTTCATCTGACCTCAGTCCCAAACTTTAAATCGCTGGTTAACATCAACTTCCTTTCCAAGCCTTTACTGAAAATATCCCGATACAAAAACTTTTGAATAATGTGGTACCAAGGTGTTTACAGACGTTAAGCAGACTGTGAGGCAGAAACTGCATGCTGGCTTTGCCTCAAGAAATTGCGGGGGCATGACGGTTAGTAGAACCTTAAGAGTGTGAGAATTATTGATGTAATGAAGGCGGAAACTTGAGTAGGGTCATGCCCCCACAGTGAAAACCTTGATGTACGAACCTAGGGTAACAATAAAGAAAGTCCGACTGTATTGGATACTGTAGGACGTAGCTGTAGACAAAGTGACGTACTGTGCAGTTCGTGGAAGGTGCAGGGATCGGAGGTCGGGGGTCCGGCCCTTAATTGAAGACAGAGTGTTTCTGAGGCCTGCAGGCAAGTTTCTCTCGCTGTGTCTGACGGTCCCTGCCAACTTTGACTTAGCCTTTGGTTTACTCGACCTTCCGATGAACGTTGTCCCGGTCGCCGCGTGGCGGCCAGTGGGCAGTTCTTGATACTGCCCGCGAGATCACCCGTCATTCACATGCCATGCGTGCTGCTGACCAGCCACGAAAGCGGCGGGCAGTCCGGGGGGTCACTGGGAATACCCCGTTCCCAGTTACCTGTGGTTGCCATGACAGAAGCACTAGTTCTTCTTCCGCTCTTCTCCATCATGTCAAGGAAACAGGAGACGCATGGAATAAAAGGCCAGAGGCAATTTCATGAACTGCGGTACCACGTAAACGCCGAAGCAGGCAAGAAAAGCCCAACGCGGGTGCCACAAGAAACAATATCGCGGCCAAGGCGACGCTTCGGATTTTCCACACCCTGTTTCCTTCTGACGCGACGCAAAAAAAGAGATAGCTAACCTCTCGCTAACGAGGTCTTCGACTCAAGACGAGGGGCCCTAGTCTCGGCACCTGTCCTGTCCTATTCTGCCTTTCGGCTCGCTGTTGTCTGAATTTTGCGCTGAGGTTGTCTTTAATTCCAATTGGTACACAGGGCACCGCTAGTTCCATGCTTTGCGGCAACTTTGATATAAAACAGTTAAAGAAGATGCCATGTAACCTATTTTAGAAGATCAACGGTTTAGTTATTACCAGAAGCCTTAGACCTGAAAAGGTCAGCTATCACTTTATTCATTGAGAAAAAAATCATGAAGTTGTCGATTCATTTAAAATACCGAAAAAATGCTCCATGCTTTGCGGCAACTTTGATATAAAACAATTAAAGAAGATGCCATGTAAAATATTTTAGAAGATCAACGGTTTAGTTATTACCAGAAGCCTTAGACCTGAAAATGTCAGCTATCACTTTATTCATTGAGAAAAAAATCATGAAGTTCTCGATTTATTAAACATACCGAAAAAATGAGCGCAAGTTGAGAAAACAGATTGTTTAAACAGTGGTAATTTTCACCAACAGAACGTTTTCTTTGCCTGGTCATTTTATTTCCAAGGTTGTAAGCCACGGATCTCCGCCTGACTTATTTTGATTAAATTCCACCTCGCTTTGAGACGCATTTGTCTATATCGAAAGAAACAACACCGACGATTCGGAAAGAATACGGAATACTTTAACCTAAACATATTTCCGTTCTTTGCAAGGATATACGTGGATTGCCTCCAATTTAATATATCTGTACATCGATATTCAATTTGTACTAGTTCGAGAGAGTTCCTCGATGCCTTAACGTAGGAAGTGCAAATTTACGTGCTCGTCTCACCCAACCGACCTAGTGGGCACAGCATAGTCTAGAAGTACTGCAGTATCCAGGAACAAGTCCTTACTTAGATCGTACTTAAGTTACTCAAGTGCCTTAACACATACAACATCGTAAGTACTCGCACTTTGATTTGTAGGCAAGTCTCTTAAGGTACTGCCTGTATCAGCTAATGTTAACAACGCTAATACTGCAGTCTACTTGGATCTAGGTCCTTCGCAAAGTACACACATGGCTCTTTAGGGACAACATTTTAGACTGCTTCCCATCAATATTGATTAAAAAAAAAGCGATACGGATCCGAGAGGTGCGGTACGATCTAGTGTTAGGGCTTTGAGTTTGTCAATGCGAGTTTCATCAATATTGTGTTTGAGGATAATTGCAACTTGGAAGGGATGAAGTTAGTGTACATCTTCAAAAGTGCCCCTAGCGGAAATGGCCTCCGCAGCTTTTTGTAGTTGTGGCATCTCCCAACAATTCTTGGTCTCAAGCAAGCTGGTTAGCCTATCAGAAGAAGATCTACATCTTAAAGAAAGTCTTCTGATAGTTCCTTACTTGGTATCAGTACGTCTGCTCAGTCGAAGCAGTGCGAAGGGTTTTCTAGTGCAAAGTTGACGATCGATAGAGGTTTCGAGTATGTAGAGGTACGAGGTTTTCGGCGATCGAGAAGTACCGTCCAGATTCCAGACAAATGTAAACCTACAATAGTACCACAGTATGGGATTCGTGCATGAACGCTCTGATCTATCTCACCTGAATAGTGAAGAGGGCAGAGTGCGGGAGCACAAGATTCGTGGTTCGGGAGCAGTGCAAGGGAACAAACGAGTCCCCATCTCATGCCTACGGTAGGGCGGCTGATTTTATACACGCGAATAGCGCTGCGAACAGGAGCTCTAATCGGTTGAAGTTCAGTGGGCGATGATGCGAGAGCGGTCGTTTGAACATGAAAAGCGGCAGCATTTCGAACCAAGAAACGGCTAATCAGGTCCATGATCATAAGCGGCACTAGGGTACAGCGGTGGAACTGGCAACAGAGCCCTCGGATGCGCGAGGTTCTCTGCAAATCGAGAGAATATTCTCAGGACGTGCGACACAGTGGCCCCGCAATGCTCTTCGCCACGTTCTCGGGTCCCGTCCGACCGCTCGGCCCCGCGGCCCTCCCCCTGCCGCTCGCATAAAATCCGACGCGGGACTCGATCTTCCCAGAAGTTCCGCGAACGGCGACAACTCCTCCGACCTCATCACGCCCGGCGACATTAACAGGCCACGCAGCACCATCGGTTTCCGGCACGCGACCTGAAGGAAAAAGGGCGACGAGGGAGGCGAGGCCCCGTGGTTTGGTTGGATCGTTCGTTGGCGGTCTGTTATAGCACCGGTTAGCGGAGCCGTGAACGGGCTCGGGCACGGGCACGGGCGGGGGAAAGAGTAGAGTGGAAGGAGGGACAGGCTGCGGAAGGTAAAGGGAAGGAAGGGATCGAGGGGGGGGGGGGGCAGGGGCCGGAGGGCAGGGAAGGGTCCTAGAGCAAGACCCATTGCCTCCATAGAAGTGAGGAGAGGAGACGCAGCTATGACTTCTGCGCACGGCAGGCGAAGCACACGATAGGCAGACCGCTTCTCCACTCTCTCGCTCGCCCACTGCTGCTGCCGCTGGCCTTGCTTGCTTGATTGCTCATGCATGTCGATGCGCAGACACAGCAGCGTCACGCTTCCCAGTCATTTCCTCAGACGAGTCTTCATTGCTTCGAGACAATAATCGGCTGGCGTAGATCAGAAGAGAGATAGACAGAGCAGAGAAGAGAAGAGAAGAGAGGGAAGCCCAGAGAGAGAGTGAGAGAGAGAGAGAGAGAGAGAGAGAGAGAGAGATAGAGATAGGAAGGAAGGATCCTTTACATTCATTCATGTCGTAGGCTGCCCCGTTCGCTCGGCGGAGAGTAGAGTGTGGAGAAGAAGAAGTAAGGAGGACGAGGAGAGAGCCGAGTGGATCAGACCATATACAGCATCCGCCCGTCTGGCTGCCGGGTGCCGTTGACGTCGAGAAAGTTCAGCCCTGGGGTTACTGCCGTCTCGTCGCTCGAAGTTGGGGTTAGATTGTGTAGGGGAGGAAGTTGAATTCAGAGGTTTTTGTTCGAGCCGCTCCAAGTGCGTTCTGCGTTTTCGGCCGTTCAAACAGTTTCTTCGTCGTAGGGTTGAGTTGTTATTAGGAGGGAGAGTTTAGAAATCAGTGAGGTATATGTTTTGGGAGGAGGGAGAAGCGAGGGTTGAAGGGAGAGGAGGGATCGAAGAGAGGCCAGTTTAAGGCTCCGTTGGTTGGCGCCTGGAGGGGAAAGAGCTCCCGCCTTCTACTGAGGTGGAGATGCAGCGATGACGTCGTGGTCGATGACGAATATGACGCCCTAGAGACTGGAGTTAACGTCGAACTTTGACGTGGATGGTGTCAATTTCGCAAAAGCTGCGAGAAGCTGACAGTCAGCCGTGGGTCTGGTTTGTGCGGAAATCCGAGGTTGATTTGTAATCCGGGCCTCGGCAGAAGCGTTGTCTGGATCTGCATCCCTTTGCCCTCGGTTCTTGGTTGAAATTCACCTTGGGCTGCGTCAGAGGCCTTGTAAGATTCACGAAAATATCCTGAGCCTGTCGAGGAATTCTGCAATCTATCATGGCGGAGGAAACCTTTCCTTCGTGGGCACGAACTACAGATCAGTGCTTAGAGCATTTTCAAGTAGATCTGAAGCAAGGCCTGAGCAAGGGTGCTGTGGAGAAGCAACGCGAGCTTTACGGATGGAACGAACTTCAGAAAGAGGCTGCCAAGCCTATGTGGAAACTTGTTCTGGAGCAGTTCGACGAGATGCTCATTAAGATCTTGCTTGTGGCGGCCTTTGTCTCCTTCGTTCTTGCATACATCGACGAGCACGAGAGTGGTCTAACGGCATACGTGGAGCCAATCGTGATCATTTTAATCCTTGTGATCAATGCCGTTGTTGGAGTGTGGCAGGAGAGCAATGCCGAAAGGGCACTAGAGGCTTTGAAGGAAATGCAATCAGAGCACGCGAAGGTCACCAGAAACGGCATCTACATTCCAGATTTGCCTGCCAGAGAGCTGGTACCTGGCGACGTTGTTGAACTTCGGGTTGGAGATAAATGTCCTGCCGACATGAGAGTTATCAAGCTCCAAACCTCTACATTCAGGGTGGAACAGAGCTCGCTGACCGGGGAGAGTATGGCTGTCATCAAGACTCATCAGCCTGTCCCTCTCGACGTGGAGCTGCAGGGGAAGGAAAATATCGTGTTTGCGGGCAGCACCGTCGTGAATGGAAGCTGTGTGAGTCTTGTGGTGAGCACTGGTATGTCCACCGAAATTGGAAAGATCCAGTCTCAGATTCAGGAAGCATCTCTCGAGGAAACTGACACACCTCTCAGGAAGAAGTTGGATGAGTTTGGCGAGCGTTTGACCACTGTTATCGGCGTGATCTGTCTTCTGGTGTGGATTATCAACTATAAGTACTTCTTCTCATGGGATACCGTCAACGGAATTCCAAGGAATTTCAGGTTCTCTTTTGAGAAGTGCACATACTACTTCAAGATCGCAGTCGCTCTGGCGGTTGCTGCTATTCCCGAGGGTTTACCTGCTGTGATCACTACATGTTTGGCACTGGGCACGAGGAAAATGGCGCAGAAGAACGCCATCGTGCGAAAGCTTCCCAGCGTGGAAACTCTAGGATGCACGACTGTTATTTGCTCTGATAAGACTGGAACCCTTACTACGAATCAAATGTCGGTTACTGAACTCGTAGCAATCGGCTCTAACCCTGTGGCTACCCGTGAATTTCACGTTGACGGAACCACTTACAGTCCAGTCGACGGTGGTATCGTTGGCTGGACAGGTGAGCTCGATGCAAATTTGCGGGCGATCGCCGAAATCTCGGCACTGTGCAACGAAGCTGCCATTGCTTTCAAAGGGAACCAGTTTCGAGCTACTGGTATTCCTACCGAGGCTGCTCTCAAGGTACGTACATATTCATCGTCACTGCCGAGAGCTATATTTTCTGGGAGTAAGTCCTCAGTCATGAGACATTATTGAGTGAAAGTGTAATACTTGGCAGCATTATTTATTCGTCTTAGTTGTAAACCTCCTCACTAAGCAGGTGTGATAATGTGAATCTTGAAGGTTCTCGTGGAGAAAATGGGAGTGCCTGATGCAAGACTGCAAGCGAAAATTGCTGAAGAGCGGAGCCGGCCTCAGAACCTTCTCGACAATACCATGGTGGAGTTGGGTACGTCTTCAACCGCGGACGCGAACCTGTTCCCATCATCTGTAATTTTAATCGATTGTTCTTATAATTGTACGAATGTCCAGTTTGTTGCCGAAACTCGTGACACATCTTCGCATGTAACTGCACCCTCGACGGGATCCTCACAACACTGCTCGCTTTTCGCCATGCAGGCTGCTGTGACTTCTGGAACTCACGACAAGAGAAACTTGGGCTTTTGGAGTTTGACCGCCTCAGAAAGTCCATGGGTGTCATTGTGCGAAACAATGTCGGCAAGAATCGTCTTTTGGTGAAGGTAAGTCGTGAACATGCCTCGAGACCTGTTCTTATGTCAGATCCTGTTTGTTCCGCCAGTGGGGTTTCTGGTCGCCAGGAAAATCTGCTGAATCTGGCACACGACCAGCTGCGTTGAGGTTGCCTCGGACATTGGAGGCGTCTGTCAGACGTTTTCTGTCTCGTCTGGAAAGTTAGGGTGCAGTACGTTTTTATCAGAGTGTCTTATGACAAAACTACCCTTCAATCGTCTGGTCAGGGTGTATGTGCCCAAGAGATACTCCGCTCTGTCAAGTACGAAGGATAATACCGTTGTTCGGGTTACGGTCTGGGCATTGTTGGCTGCAAGAGCTACGATCTGCGTCCTTTTCACTTCCCGAACTGCGCAGCCATATTCCGTTGTAGATAGTCTTGTGTCTGTAACAAGACGCAAACTGGGGTATGATTGAAGCTTTCAGCCCAGTGTTGGTTGTGGTGCCGTCTATTGACCTAGACGGACCTTGAAGCCTTGTCAGACTTCTGTGCGTCGATGCTTTGTCAGCAGCCAGTGATGCAGCTGGTGGCTTGTTTAGCTTTACGAGATTATTGTCCAATTTGAAGCTCATGGCGTCCTTTGATTCTGCAGGGTGCCGTTGAAAATATATTGGAGAGGAGTGCATTTCTTCAATTGGCAAGTGGTGAGGTCGTGGAAATGACCGAAGACTCCAGAGAATTGTTGTTGAAGCGTTTGGCCAACATGAGCTCTAAGGCTTTGAGGTGTCTAGGTTTCGCATACAAGGAGCAATTGGGCGAGTTTGAATCTTACACTGGAGAGGATCACCCAGCTCACAGACTGCTTCTCGACCCTAGCAACTACTCAAACATCGAGAGCGATCTTGTCTTTGTTGGCATGGCCGGTATCAGAGTGAGTTTCAGCTTTGCCTTTGGACGGTCGTCTTCCTGAATTTGTTGAGTATTTGTCAACAAAATGTATGTCTCAAGGCAGCTTGTCACATTTATACCCACAGAGGCGTCATTTGTAATGTGCTTTTTACATACCAAGTCTGCAATTTAAGTGCTCATTGAAATGTTACTCAATGTGCAGGATCCTCCCCGTGAAGAAGTCCACAAGGCAATCGACGACTGTAGAGAAGCAGGAATTCGAGTCATGGTCATTACCGGAGACAACAAGAATACTGCCGAAGCCATATGCAGGGAGATTGGAGTGTTCAGCGATGGCGAAGATATCTCTTTGAAGAGTTTTACGGGAAGAGATTTTCTTAGCCTTCCAGTTGAACAGCGACGGAAAATTCTAGCTGGAAGTGGAGGCTGTCTTTTCTCCAGGTCCGAACCGAAACACAAACAGGACATTGTTCGTATGCTGAAGGAGGCTGGAGAAGTTGTAGCTATGACCGGAGATGGAGTGAATGATGCTCCAGCATTGAAGCTTGCAGACATTGGTATCGCAATGGGAATTGCCGGAACTGAGGTAAGGATAGGACTATTCCAATTTGTCCACCTGGTGGGAACCCTCGCACATAGATTATTTCGAATGATTCATAAAACGCTAATGTCTGACTCATCTCCATTTATCGTTAGGAGGTTTTTTGTGTAGCTTTCTGTCGAATTTAACGGCTAAGCTCTTCCTGCTGTGTTCAGGTCGCCAAGGAGGCGTCCGATATGGTTCTTGCGGATGACAATTTCAGCACCATTGTGTCCGCCGTTGCGGAAGGTCGTTCTATTTATAATAATATGAAGGCATTCATCAGGTAAAAATACATTTTGCTGCATGAGCTGTAGGTTCCCGCTGTTTGAGCGGGAAAGTATGACTCGTCTATTTTGCCTGATATAGAGCCTTCAACGTGGACTGGGCTTCAGGACTATCACGACTGCTATCATATTGTACCCACCTTTCTCGCGGATGTTCTTTGCACTTCAAGTCTGTCGGAGTGTTTCTCATTTAGGTTCCTTCATTTTTTTTGGTGGCGGCTAAGCAGACTGTTTTTGATTGAAATTCGATCCAGGTACATGATCTCCTCGAACGTTGGAGAAGTTGCTTCAATCTTCTTGACTGCAGCACTCGGCATGCCCGAAGGCCTAATTCCTGTTCAGCTTCTTTGGGTGAATCTCGTGACTGACGGTCCTCCGGCAACCGCATTGGGTTTCAATCCCCCTGATGCCGACATCATGAGGAACCCACCCCGAAGAAGTGATGATGTCTTGATCAATAAGTGGGTGTTCTTCCGATACATGGTACGTCCCAAGTTTCCTCGTGTACTCTCTTGAGTTGTAGAATTGTTAAGCTCGTGCAGGGTGTCGATCTATTGTGATCTGGTTTAGCCTTCCTAAGGTCAGTTATGTTCCGGCCAGTGTTGTTTCCTTGCGTACGTGGATGTCCTGTGGAGGACGATCATGTCCTACACTCTCCCGGGTATCTAATGCTTTTCCTGTGGAACTCTCTCTGCAGGTTATTGGTAGCTACGTAGGAGTTGCAACTGTAGGCATCTTCGGTTTGTGGTACACTCAGGAATCTTTCTTGGGCATTCCTCTGACCTCGGATGGACACACGTTAGTTTCTTACTCACAACTGACAAATTGGGGCGACTGTCCAACATGGGAGAACTTTACCGTCGCACCTTTCCAGGCCGGTTCACAGGAATTGGACTTCAGCAAGAATCCTTGTGACTACTTTACGCTAGGGAAAGTGAAGGCAACAACTCTTTCCCTCTCAGTGCTGGTGGCCATTGAGATGTTCAACTCTCTGAATGCCCTGTCAGAGGATGGGAGTTTAATCACCATGCCACCATGGGTGAACCCGTATCTTTTGTTGGCGATGGCGGTGTCTTTTGGACTTCACTTTTTGATACTTTATATCCCCATCCTTGCCAACATCTTTGGCATTGTGCCCCTCAGCTTAAACGAGTGGCTGCTTGTGCTGGCGGTGTCCCTACCTGTAATATTGATAGACGAGGTTCTAAAGTTCATCGGCAGACGCATGACAAGTCGTCAAAGACAGGCAAGGAAACTGAAAACTGCTTAAATTTCTTTATGTTATCCTAGTCCGGACTGCTAAAAATCGTTAGCAGAGGAATGTGGTCTCTTGATAGTGTATCACTACCCACTCCCAGATTCTAGAGGGGCAAATTACGACGCGAACGTGAATATTCAGTCGATATCGTACAAAGATAGGCCCGTGTCTTGGAATGATCTGGACTTACAGAGACAGATGGTAGGAACTGGACGGAGAAATTTTTTATACACCCTAGGCCAGGGTACTGTCAAATAGTCACAAACTGTTAGAAAAGCAGTGCTGGCCATCTCTGCAGACCCGGTTGAAGCCCTCTTCTGCCATTGACGACTTATCAGCTTAGTCGCTTGATGAGTGATTTTTGATAGGTATAGGCTGACGTCATAAATTGGGTCTCCTGAAATTTTTTACAGCGGGGACAATGGCCGCATTGTTAAAAGCCCATTCAACGTTTTAGTAGATGATCTGGTTCTGAAAGATTCTTTCACCATTTTTCTGAAGAAACTTTCTTCACAATCTTGTGACTCTGTAAATGAAGATGCGAACATTTTGATCCCTACTGCGTCCTTCTCTTCTGTGCACATGTGTGTGTATACTGCCAAGTCGACTTCTTGTTTTGTCCCTGTGTCCACCGTCCAACGTTCTATTTGTTGGAATCAGCTGATTGGTAGCCCAACTAGTCTGCAGGGATTTTGTCACAACGATGTCAGCTTGTGTGGTGTGTTAAGACATGGCATTTGAAAGCTTTGCAAAGCTGCAAGAGCACTATCGGAGCCACTCTTCATCAATGTCCACGCGAGGCCTTTAAGTTGCATTTCTTAGTAATCATTATTGCAATCTACTTCCGCCAATCACAACACAAAATTTTGGTCGACTAGTCAGTAACAACTTCCCTTTGAAGTGTGCTAACCCACGCTGCGAATCTCGTGATGTGTGTGCGGGTAGTTCACATCCTCAAAAGGCGAAATTACGCCAAAAGCAGCCCACGTGGAGGTGAAGCCGTGCGTATGTTCAGTATCGAAGCTCAACCCATAATTCTGGTAATTTAAACTCTTAGTTCATCGTCGCGTTCTGATTTTTAGGACAGCCCGTAGCATGCAGAAGCGTACGGAGGAGATGCTGTGTGATACTTAGAAGCGTAACCGCACCTTGTGGGATGCTACCATGGATCGTGGTATTAGAAACAGGCAAAGGTTCTCTACCTTTCGTCAACCTACATAACACAGTAGTTCGGAAGGTGGGTGGACGAAGCTGGTCCCGGAACGCAATAAATGCTTTGTTCGTTCTTTATTGAAGTAGTTGAAAAAGTCGAATGCTTCACACACAGAAAAATTTACCAATGAAAGGGGGTCAACCAACAACAACACTACACTATTACTACAGGCAGAACCTACCACCCTTTCTTTGCTCTTCGCAATTCCATTTCTCGAGAGGAGTCGATATGTATTAAAAGCACCCAATAACGCAGGAATTTGCAAGAGTAGAAGAGCTATGCAACCACAACCATCACGAAGAATACAGATAAAAAAGCCCTCAAACGAGGCTTGAGGTTGAATGTGGCTGACATATCGTTGCAAAGAGCTGGAGACTAGTTGCACTATGGCTGGAACTGTTTTGAGATCATGACCAGGATATTGATCGAGTAAAGCTTTATAAAATGTTCTTTTTATGTCTCCTGATGAACGGCCATGAAGGTGAGGTTCAATATTTGCCCCAACAGCTCGTGGACGACATTGTCATGCCTTCTACCAAGTTCTCTACGACCTCTCAGTTGTTCGCATACCAGAAACAGCTTTGGACGACATTGTCATGACTTCTAGTAAGTTCTCTTTGAACTCTCAATTGTTCGCACACCAGAATGGGGATTCATTCACTGACCCTCATCCCCATTCAGAATGGGGATGAGGGTTCATTTCATTCATATTTGGTTCCCTGTACATTGAGTTTCAAATATAACTTCCTCATTCTCGTTAATGACTCGTTTTGCCAGTTACAGGTCATTGCTATTTTGTGTTAAATAAATAAATCTTCAATTTTTGGTGAAGCTTATGCATGAAAATTATACAATTTCTGAGATGAAAAAAGATTTTATTACGATCGTTACTGTTATGTAATAATAGTTTTTCATGTTGAAATGATAAGGAGATTTATGATTTAACAATTTTTATTGTATATAGTTATTAACCTTCCACTTTGGGGAGATTTTGTACCTATCCATGTAATTTAATGCAGTGCACTTTCACGGGTCTTCATTGTAAATCACACACTATAACTGAACTATAATTCTAACTTTCGGAATTATGACCGCGATCGAGAGAACAACATCTTTCTATGATACACATCGTCACGTTGCTATTATTTTAAGTAAGTTTAAGTTAATTCATTCCTAGAGTTGCATTCGCCACACAACGACCACTTCTCTTGTGCGAAATTAGATCAATGTGCTGCACGGCCAATCCATACTAGAAAAGATTAGCGACTGTGTTACCGGGCAGAGGCTCCATCCATTGGTCAGCAGGAATGTTGGCCCAGGGGACAAGGCCCGAAAGGAAAGAACACGGGAAGATTGTCCTCCACTCCAGGACCGCAGGACAAAGGCTCGCCGAAGATTCGGAAAGCATCACATTCGAGATAGGACTCTCGTTGTGGTTGGATTAACATCGCGGGTAAATTGAATTGTCGAGAATTTGGGCACCGATTTGATGTATGGTGCAATGATCGAGTAGCGAGGTGGTTGCCGAATCAAGTCAGAATTGAGCTCGGATGCGGAGCTTGACGACTTGTCTCCACGCCATGGGCTTGTCCGTGGGTCTCGGTGCTCGCGAAGTTTTTGTGCCGCGGGGTTTGGGTTCGTTTGGATTCCATGAACACCGACCGAAACTGCGCTGCTGCAGAGCCTCGCTTGAGGAAATTCGACCACCTCCCGCTTTCAATTTTTCCGCCGCGGATGGTGTTTCTGTAGCACCTCGGAAATATCCTCCTTTGCTCAGGTTCGATTATCCGGCCCCTTTGCTTCGCGCGGCCTCCAGAGAGCGCGTGCGGAATCATTGCTCCTTAGAACCTTTTTCCGTTTCGATCGTGGCCTTGGAGGCCTCAGATGACAAATTCTCAGGCTTTGAGGGCGGGGGTTTTGAAACTTTATCAAGCGAACCCTGCATATCACGAGCGTGGCTGTGGGCCTGCATTCCGCTGCGTTTGAGCTCAAATTGAACGTCTTTCGCTCGTATATCTGCCTTGTTGATGACAATGTTTTAAGTGGCGAAACGTCAATTGCGATGCTATCAGCAGTTCTGTCACCTGCTCAGAACATGTCTCTTATAATTTCACAGGGAGGTGTTATGGTTGTGGGAAATTCCTGTTTTGTTTTGTTTTTTGGCGGGTTTCTCGAGCTGATGTAGAGGAGACTGCAGTGCAGTGTCGCTCCGATGATGGATTGGACAGACAACTACTATCGAACTTTGGCGCGTCTGATGACTCGTTGTTCATGGTTATATACGGAGATGGTTGTTGCCGAAACGATTGTGCACCAAGCCGACAATTTGGTTCGTTAAAAATCTGTCTTATGAAAAGCTTTTGTTGCTCGTTTGACTCGTGCTTGTTACTTACGCGCCTTCTGAGAATCCTTCTTGGGTGATGTGAAGTGTTTTAAAAGTTTTGAATTTAGACTCGGAGCGTTGATCTTAAAATCTTGTCAAAGCGGGTTTTGTTATTTTTTAATTTTCCTGAACTCATTTTGTGTGGTTGGGTACTGCGAACAGGGCAGATTTTTGGACTACCCTGCAAGTCAACATCCAATAGCGTTGCAAATTGGAGGAAGTAATCTGGTGAATCTCGCCAAAGCGGCCCAACTTGCGTCTACTTATGGCTACGACGAAATTAACTTAAAGTGAGTAAAGTATAAAGTACCGCTTTTAGATGAAACTATTTTGTCATGGTCTTGGATATTGACGTGTTTGCTACAATTGGTTAACCCGTTACCCGTGTTATATGTGTTGGTGATTTGTTTTCTATGATCGTTTGCAGTTGTGGGTGTCCTAGTGATAAAGTCGCTGGGCATGGTTGTTTTGGTGCAAGCCTCATGCTGAAACCCGAGGTACAAACATCAAAAGGTTTAGGATGTGATCTCATAAGTAGTAATTGTTTTAAAATCTTATGATGCTTTACTATTGCCTTCTGGATATAACCACGTATAAAAGTTTCTTTTATGATTTTGTGAGTTTCCTCACTACACGTTCTCCTACCTCTCTTGGGATTACATCGATCGCTACCACTGTGCTTGCATTCAGTAGATTATCATGCTTGGTCAATCTAACGTTCCCGTTTTGTTGATGTTGGTCTATCTTTTTGCAGCTTGTTGGGCAAGCAATGGCAGTCATAGCAGACAACTGCGATGTACCTGTAACAGTAAAATGTCGGATTGGAGTTGACAACTACGACTCTTACGAAGAACTTTGTAAGTACACTACCTTCTGTTAGTGACAGTTTCCTCTCTTGTACTCATTTATTTGTTTCCGAAGTGATATTGTTTGTTGAAATTTTATTTTACAAAACTATAATACTGGTCAGCTCTGAGTTGCTTTAGATGAATTTTTTGTACTGCTGTTGATTCTAAGTACATTTTGGATGTTCCTATAGGCTCTAGCAAATAATTCGATCTGCATTGTCGATCCCTTTCTCTGAACAGGCACATTCATAGAAACTGTTTCGTCGATGTCGCCAACAGAAGTTTTTGTTATACATGCCCGGAAGGCCATTTTAAAGGGTTTGAGTCCCGCCGAAAATAGGACTGTACCACCTTTGAAGTAAGATCACAACCGTTGTCTATGTTCACTTTAAAGGGTTTCTTATGAAGGTTTCTTACAATCGACTTTGAGAGGTGTCTGGTTTATTTTCCTTCATTTCAGTTATTTATTGTCACAGGAGTGTACTTGTGCTTTAGTGCTGTAATTCTTATGGATTGTATTTTATAGGTACGAGTATGTATATGCACTGATACGAGATTTTCCACATTTGAAATTTGTACTGAATGGAGGAATAACTTCAATTCTAGAGGTTCGTTCTTCTATGGAAGTGTGATGGTATTTCGATTTCAACGATCGCGTTCATGCATTCTTTTATTGGTCCTCTTGAGTCTATCATCGCCAAGAACTGGTCTTTGGATAGATTCCGAGTCGTATGAGGACTATCTACTGGGAATGAAACAAAAATGTGAATGTGTAGACTGCTCAATCTCTTAAGAAAGGCATTTTACTGAAATAGTATCTATTTCAATAAATAGATACTACTGTATAAGAGTGTGTATGGTGTCTGTAAGGTTACGTGAGTTATTCAGGAAGAAGTACAGCTTATGAGGATCTCATTGGTAATATTTTGTTTCTGCTTGTGCACCAGTTCTATGGACTTGTTAGACTTATTATGGGCTGTTGTGTAGTACAAAGGTATACCACTACCAGATTTAGGCGTTTCCTGGTCTGAAGAAAATTGTCTGGAGGTCGTTCTGTCTTAGGAAGATTACAATCTCCTAGTATTAGTAACTTGGGACAAAGTTGAATCAAGAAGTATATTCAAATGGAGGAAGTATGTTATAAGACGAATGCATACACCAAACGACTTTTTAATGTATATGATACTCATTAATTGATGGTTTATCAAATCTGACCAAGAATGGCTTGCCTGTGCTTTTTGAATTCACAGGCGAAATATGCTGTAGATAGAGGAGCGTATGGAGTTATGATTGGAAGAGCCGCTTATAACTGGTTAGTGTCTTTAAAACTCAATTTGGCTACCAAATGGAACATCATGGGTTAGCCAAAATCTTGAGTTTGATACGTCCTGTTTGATATAATTCTTGAAATATCTACTTCAGGTGCTTCTCCTTGCCCAAGATGTCGACATGCTAAATGGAAGGGTGTTGGTTTGCTGCAGTCCATGGACTACTCTCGGGAGTGCTGACAGTATTCTGTACGGAGAGCCAGGTCCAGGATTGACTCGGCGACAGGTGTGTGTCGCGGATTTATTGACCTTCCCTCTTTCATAACACGTCTCCATCTAGTATGCAGTCTGTTTGAGATTATGGTGCTAGCCTTCGGTAAATGCGGTAATCTTCCAGGTAATGTCCAATTCCATGCGTATGTAGCGAGCTGCACTTACCTCGCGTAATTTTGGGCGGTAGCGGTTGGACTTGGGTACTCAATGTTCTCACCGTTAAGCTGGATCATGGCAGATAGACTCTTGCCGTTCAGATGTTGGCAAAGGTTACCGGTCCTGGTTGCAATTAACGTGCTGACCGACACCGCACTTTATTTCTATTTCTGCTTTTATTTGACTGTCATTCACACGTGTATTGTGTGGCTTAAAAAAAATGTAGGTGTGTATCCTCCAAGTCTATTATCTTCAGCAGTGACAATACGTCGCTCACCCTATACCTTTGATCACCTGTTTCTAGTCATCATGGTGTGAAGGCACTTTTCTCTTAGTGATACCCCGCCGGGCAGCTTGCATGAAGGTTAATCCTTTCTAACTATGGAATCTTTACTGTTTTTCACTTTGTTTGAATGTTTATTGACTCGTGCAGATTCTGGAGAAATATGCATTGTATGCAGATTCTACCATTGGAAAATATGGTCCTCACAGACCAAATATTAGAACTCTTGTGAAGGTATTATAATATCTACAGAGCCCTTGTCAATGCAGTCAATGTTGATTACATGAAAGAGCTATCAAGTTTGAAATTTTGTTAATGTTTAAGTTTCCATTTTGCTCTTAGTTTCTCAATATATATATCCAAATAGTTTTCTAAATACGAGCTTGTACTCAGCACGTCTTGAGCATCCGTAAATCGAACCATTTCTATGCTATTTCTGGCTCTGAAGTCCCGATCATCTGGACTTCCGATCTCCGCCTCCTATAACATGTAGTTAGAATCTGATTCTCGAGTAACTGTTTAAAGCTTGAACTCTATCAACACTGTTTTTTTGAGCCTTATAGACTTTAGACTTTAGACGCTAGACTAAAACATTGAAAGAACATATCTAGGACTGAAAGGATCAACACTTCAAGTCATGAACCTCTGCCAAGAGAAGATAGCAAGATGACCATAAGCGAAGTCCTTCGATCACCATATCCGGATGGAGTTCTCCTCTAATGACATCGAATAAAATTTCGATTCTGGCGTCTTCTTCTGAACCTTGAACAGCTTTCACTCCCCATGTTCTGTGCTGGTTAGCCTCAAGTAACACAAATTTTCATAAGTACCATCTTTTGACATGTTTGCTGTACTCCAATACCTGAATCAAGACAAGAGTATTCTGCAGCAGATATACTAACTTGACCGCAAACAATTGGTACCAACGAAAAGTCAGAAAACTAGCAATGATTGTTCACAACGAATCCATTAGCTCTATGATGAAATCAGATCTAAACCCGACCCAGAATTCTCGCTGCACTACACAAAATCAGGAGATAGGGCACATCTTTACCAATTCACAGTTGGGAAGAGGTAATCAATAGCTAACGTTTCCCTTGTTGTTTGACTACTAGTTTAATTGAACCTCTTTACCCATGAATTTGGTGTGTAAACTTCACTGTACAGACTACAAACGATCCCAAGTTGGAAGAACGACTGAGTACTTAGTTACAGACGGATGATCTTGTTTTCTGAAAACATTGTCTCAAGTAATATGTTAACGATGAGTGACAGTGTATTTTTGTCCTTGGTTGGATTGTAGCCACTGGTTCATCTTTTCCATGCGGAACCCGGGGCATCACGATGGCGGCGGGCTGTGGATGAAACCCTTCAAGTGCGAAAGGTATGTCGAGTAACGTAGCCCTGATCTGTATTAACTTGGTATGTTAACATTTTGTGTTGTATGTCATTCAATTGTGATTGTCTGTGGTCGGTGTTCTTCATTCTTGTCTCATGTTATTCTGACCAGTTTAATTTCAACTGAAGTTTTAACCGACACTTAAATTTGGGTGGTTTTTATTTTGGTAAAGCTTAGATTCTTAGTTCGTATCAGGACCTCTGATTGCCCTGGGTCGAGTCTATATAGATTTGCAAGACTTGTGCAATGTAGGAATGTGAAGTTGTTTATGCAACCCTTTCCTCATACAATTCACTTATGTCTAATTCATTTGGGTCTGCAGACTGTACAAGGCGTTTTGGAAGGGACCTTGCAAGTACTTCCCGACTATGTCTTAGACGCGCCACCTCCTATCCCCGAGAGTCCGGGTGATTCATTAGTTTGCCGTTTGTCAGATTTACCGAAGACTCCTAGCTTCCTGGAGCGATCTTCTTCGAGTGTATCTTTAAGCGGATCCCAATTGCTACAAGAGATTGGTTGTAGATAGAGTATTATTTAAAGCTATCAATGTTAGAGTGGCTAGTACATGAACCCCTGGTTGCAGCAGCCATCTTCCGGAGAATATTGTTGTGTGTGGATGTGAAATGTTACACCATACACGAGTTCGTACGTGTTACGAGCTTTCATTTGAAAGGATCAGCATCATATACATTAGGAATATTTATCCCTGCCCCATGTGCTGAGTTCTGACGAGGTCTGCTTGCTGACCGAGTAAATCTTGGAATGTTTCTCTCGTCAAGGTAGCTGAAATCGGATGATACCTTTTCTTGGCAATCAAAAGTTCAGTGGATGCCCTTCCGAGATGAATTTGATCGCAAGTCATGAACTGCGCTCTTTGCCAATGTCTAATACAGAAGGTGAAGTAGAAATTAGGCATTGATATCTACTCTGACAATTGATTAAGCTAAGGTGCACTGACATCAATAATGAAGTCGAAACGACGGCTCTGTTGCATGAACCAGCGTTGTTTTTACCGCAAACTTGCAGCTACACTGTCACAAGAAGGTATAACAACGGCATTCTACTGATCTGTAACCACCAGATTTCAAACTTTGCCGTTTCAAATTTCCGTACTTCGTATCGTGTGAAAGGATGGAAGTAGTAACAGGTTGGCCGAGGATCGATGGCCGTTCATGGTCATTAACGAACCAAGAGGGAAGCTGCGGTTGAGGTATTAGCTTGGCAAGGTGTAAGACTGTTGAGTCGACCTGAGGTCTGTACCCTTTGACGTGAGTGGGTCAGCCTCCAGTCTATGCCACCAAACTAACGCCAAGTACAAACGGAACCATAGAGTCCACGACTTCCGCATCTATTAATCTTCCGAAGTTATGAAACTTACAACCCAACGAATATTGTTTCATATCGTACTCTAAGTATACCCCAAGTCAATTTTCATGACACGAACAGGACTTATAACTTAGATGAAGATCACCGTGTGAACTAAGTTTGAATTTCATAGCATGAAAGATGTTGTAACGGGCTGCGTAAGTAATACATCGGACAGCACGTTATTTTTCAAATGGATGCAAGGATTTGTATACATGAATATTCCCCGACGCAATGATGTATCAAGTCTTGGTCCGTCCCAGCTAACGAACTAACTAACTAACTATATATATACAAAGTACATAGAACTATATTATGTATTTACAAAATAAGAATTCCGATACAATTTTATTTTTTTTTAAAATGTGAATTTTTAATCATTGACTTCATGCACCATTCAGTTTTATGCTTCTTTAAAGAATTCTATCCCATTGTTCCCTGTGTGAACTAAATGGAGTTAGAAATATGCTTCTCGTTAACTAAATTGAGAGTGGGGACATTTTTTAGACTCAACATGTACACCCATTTCATGTTCCAACTTTGGTATCAAGATGTATATGTGTCGCGATATTCATCCATGTTGAATGACTGGATACTAGAAACTTGCAGTAGATGATGAGTTCACTGGCTGCAACCTGAAACAAAATCAGATTTATAAAAGTGGCTAAACGTGGAAGGAATATGCATATGTTATCCAAAAACAACCTTATTCTCAGATTTTTTGGAATAACTAAGATTTTGTTAAATTTGTTTGGATGAGACAATTCTGATTATTGTTCTTAGATTCTTATGTGGGGATAAGAAACATCAGTTTAAGTCAAGTTTGCAATTAGTTTCATTTACATTGGATGTGCCATGAGAGCCAAAACTGCTGTTAGAAGAGTTTAGGGGAGTTCAAGACGTAGAGTTCAAATTATGGCTCGTGTGGTTTCAGTTTTAGAAGTTGAACAATGGAGAGTGCGTTTACGGCGGAGAGTAATTAATGAGCTAACTTGGAGTATTTGAGTCTCAAAATGAATTTGGCTCAACTCTTATCTCATCTTTCATGTAGTAAAGATGTTTGTCCTATATTGGTGGACGATACGAGATCTATACCTTGGTTTTGTCTGCCTGATTTTACCTTGTGGCCAAAACAATAACCACCATCATTTTAAAAATCTTGTCAACATCTAAGAATCGATTTTTCAAACAGTCATCTAATAATACATTATAGCCAAACATCATTCTTGATGAAGTTGAATATATAAATGCATGATAGCTTGATAATGCAATGACATGTTGCATATACTGAATCTTATAATGTATTGATGATATATGAGATGAATTTCGCATTGATGATTGTGAACAGTGAAACTTTCATATACCAAGTTGGCACTTGGATGGAAGCTAAGTGAGTTGATTTTAAAAAGTTTTTAAGGTTCTAGCCACGAATTTTACCATTCGCTGAAAATCCAAACATTGTGACCTGATGACTTGCTATAGTGAAACATGAATGCAAATGACCATGCTAAAACTCAATATTATGACGTCATCTAGATTTGGATTAATAAAAAATTACTTAGTGTTAGTTTATAAGTATATATGTTTTGTAATGATATTGATATATGTTGTGATGAGATACATATGTATTTTACAATATTTATAGTTATTTGGTGAATATCAGTTTATTCATTTGACAAGACTATATAATAATTTCGTAAAAAATAAAGCTAAAAATATAACATATAATATTAATAACACATTATTGCAATGATCATATGTAAAAGTCACTTTATATACTAAGAAACTGGCCAATTTACTCTTGATTTTTACAAGTTTGACAGTCAATCTACCATTTGATAGACTAAATAACATATGTTTCTAATGTAATCATTGAGCGAGATACCGAATCTACAGCTTTGATTCGATTTCCATGATTTGGTAGATTTTAAAAACTTGGGTAATCAAGTTCACATTATGTTTCGGTGAACGAATTTCCGAAAAGAGGTTAGAGATATTAAGGAAAGAGTTTCACGCTTATAAAAGGCACAGCTACAATTTATCCTTTGTTAACTCCCTTTCTCTCCCACTTCTTCTAATGCTGATCAGCCCTGGCATCGCAGTAACGATTGTGCTGTGAAGTTGCCGTGATTGTCTTACTGCAAGGACAAATTGAACATTCTGACTTATTGCTGAGAGATGGCAGATCATTCCATGATATGCAAATATTGCGTTTGGCTACCTCTTCATGCTGACATGGAGAAGCTCACGATGCAGCTGACTGGACTTGCATGCAACTCCCCCATCAACAGAAATTGTGAATTTTCTTTACCAAGAACCTCTCAGTTTCTATACTTGTGTGCGAGCGAGCCATTTTCCATTCACGTGGCGGCCGTCACACGACGAGTGCCGGTATCAGCACGAGACTATAGTCATCTAAAACGAGGAAGTTTTCTATCCTTGCATCGAGATATGGTCACAGACGAACCGAAGTACCTTCGCTTTAAAGGAACTCCTGCTGTATGTCTGATCGCCCTATCCCACTATGATAGGGAATGGAAGTCTCCATCACATTTCACAAGGTCGATCTCTGCAAGAAATCTGAAACTCCGGTTCTGACCTGTCGTCAGCCTGGATCATTAACTAACGTGCCTAGCTGATTTTGGGTGTGACTGACGCCCTGACAAATGAGTATGAGGACTAAGTTGTCTGCTGGTTTCATTCTGCTTTGCGACAATTGTCGTTGCCAGCAGCCGCTTGATCGAGTGGCAATTCAGTTTACTATTCAGGCTCAGATCGATCGTCTTTCCAACTAGATGTTGAAACTATAGTTTGAATCTGAGCTCAACGGGAAAGTTTCTGGATCTCAACGACGGTAGCTATTAATGCCCCATCGACCATATTTTGAGTAGCGAAAAAATGGCTGGCTTGAGTCGTGGAGGTGTACGTTTGGACGTCTGTTTATGACAAGAGAAGATTTTCCATTCCAGTGTCTCGAGCATCTCATATGCTTCAGTTTCGATCTTCAGTGCTCATGACCGAGGCCGCTGATTCCATGGAAATAGCTTCTTGCCGGTGACAGCACTTGGACAGCTCGTGGAACCTGAACTTCGGACCTTTATGACTAATGCAAGCATTTGGATTGATGGCTCAATATCTTAGAAAGTGCCTGTCCTTGCATGCCTGAGAGCAATTTTATGAAACTGCGGTGCCCAATTTTATGCTAAAACGTCGTTCAGGGTAGTTGATCTTAGCTTTTAGAAGCTGAATTCTCTTCCCACTGTAAGTAATTGGGACTCATTTTTCCGAGTGGAGTTCACACAGATACGGGTCATTTAGCCGGTGAAATGTGTTACAAGCATGGATGCACGAAGAGATAAGTCGAAGTTGGGCACGAAGACTGGGCAGAAAGTTGGGCAAAACATGTTCAGGAATGCTCGAGGGCTCACAAATGCTATGCACCATCGGATGATGATACTGTTAATATGTGTTATAGGCCTGCTTCGATTTCGGGCAGGCGGAGTGGAAGTGGTAGCATCTAACGACGAGGCAGCGAATTCAGGCCACTGGTCGGTGGAGTTGAGGAATGGTGGAGTTTCCGCAATGCACATGACACTGACCCACGAGAATACTGTGGTCTATTTCGACATGACTGACATCGGTGCGTCGCTGCTGTCTCTGCCGGATGGGCAATGCAGAGTGGACCAATTCGACGAAGTTTTGAAAAGAGACTGCTGGGCCCATGCGGTGGAGTACACCATAGCATCGGCAGAAACCAGACCCTTGGAAATCAAAACAGACACGTGGTGCTCGTCTGGCTCTTTCGCCAGCAATGGGACGCTGATTCAGACCGGAGGATGGGGAGATGGCTACAGAGTGGTCCGATATTTCAACCCATGTCCCAGAGGAGGAAACTGTGACTGGATCGAAGCTCCCAACGCTCTGCAAGAGAAGCGCTGGTACGCCTCCAACCAAGTCCTCCCGAACGATGGACAGGTTGTGGTCGGAGGTCGTGGCGAGCCCACTTATGAATTCGTCCCCAGGAGAAGACAAGACGAAGGCACGTACAAGTTGCCCCTCCTAGTGGACACATACGAGGCAGGGGCTGAGAACAATCTATACCCTTTCGTGTACCTGAATTCAGATGGAACCCTCTTCATTTTCGCCAACAGAGATTCCATTCTGCTCAACTTGCAAACCAATTCCATTGTTAAAAAATTCCCTCGCATGCCGGGGGACGGATCGAGAAACTACCCGTCCAGTGGCAGCTCTGTCATCCTTCCCTTGACCTTCGAGGATGATTTTCACAAGGTGGAGGTCATGGTCTGTGGAGGATCCCCTCCCTCTGCATACCAGCAGGCCCAGTTGGGAAACTTTCTCACAGCCTTGGATACATGCGGAAGGTTGGTGATCACCGATGCAAACCCCGACTGGCAGATGGAGAAGATGCCAGGCCCCAGAGTGTTATCAGACATGGTCATTCTTCCTACGGGGGACGTGCTCATAATCAATGGATGCCAGCAAGGAACGGGAGGATGGGGCCTGGGCAGGAGCCCTGTGCTCTCGCCTTATCTCTATACACCCCATAACGCGAATTGGCAGATTATGGCCGAATCCACAGTTCCCCGCATGTACCACTCGTCGGCAGTTCTGATTCCAGATGGACGAGTGCTCGTCGGAGGCAGCAACACCAACCGATACTACAACTTCACGGGTGTCATGTTCCCCACAGAGCTCAGAATCGAAGCCTTCAGTCCTCCTTACCTGCACAGCTCGCAAGACGACCTGAGGCCGTCGAGCGTCACAGGCCTTCCTCATCAACGTGATCGTGAAAATCCCAGTGGTCAGAGTGGACTGGTCATCTACTACGGCGAAGATTTCACCATCTCCTTTCGACTGCCTTGGAGAGGTTCCTATCGGCGAGATGGATCGAGCCTGGAGTACAGGCTGAATGCGCCGCCCTTCTGTACTCATTCTTTCTCTCAGAACCAGAGGCAGCTGGTGCTCAAGGCCACCACCTCCGGCTACGGGACTTTCCGATGGGCGCGCATCACCGCCCCATCTTCTGCTGTCGTTGCACCTGCAGGCTACTATCTGCTATTTGTCGTCCATGAAGGAGTCCCCAGCTCTGGTACTTGGGTCCAGTTACTCCCTCGTGACTGACGGCTTCCCGTAGATTCCACTCATTTGAGAACTTCTGGGTTTCAGCGCTTGGACATTTGGATACTCGCAACTCAGTCACAGCATTTTTGTTCGGATTCAGACCGACACAAACATGGTTTGTTCACATCGTAGTACCACGTCTGAATATGGTAATGTGCGAGTACGTGTCTCATATCACCAGGCATTGTATATTGTTACATTTTCATGGGATTTTAGCATTCTCCAATATTCATGAGAATTTGGAGTTTGATACAGTCGGCAATTCTTAGCGTGAAATTATCCGCCGTGCTCAAAGCAATAAAATTTTGATCATTGTGTTTTGAGTGATGAAGAACCTGTTTCAGAATATTTTCTTGACTCCTTCCAATCATAATTTAAAGAAATTTAGAGCGAAAAGTTGCAGAGAGAACAACAACTGCTATGTGCGTAAGTTAGAAGATGCTACTCTAAGCCTTCTGAACTCTATTTATCCGATTCAAATCTTCATTCTTTATTATTAGTAGGATAAGATGGTTGGACCTATGGATTTTTCTCTCATGTGAGTAGAGTTCCCGTAGAGTTCTTCAATTTGCTTCGTTCATGATTTACGAGCTTCCTAGGGTGCGAAAAAGGTGGAACTAAGGTATGACATAGGCAATTGAAACGTTAGTGTTAAATACACGAGAATTAACTTAAAGGTATACCTTAACCCTAAATTTATGTAACGTCAATAGTGTTTATTAATAAATCAATCTCAAAATTTTGGACATACTTTTCAGTAGCAAACAAGTCTAATAACCATACATACAAGTATGATAAAAATATGATTTTATCATAAAATTTGGATTTATTAATAAAATTTGCAATCTAGTAATTACAATTGAAGTTTCTAATTACAATATAGTCTTTATGGAGAATATTGTGTAACAATATTACGAATATAATAAGAAAAAAATTACTTAAGAACATGGATTCCAAAATAAAACGCTGGTGAGAACAAATGATTTGAAAAATATGGTAATTTTTATGATAATTTTAATTCAATCATAAATCATAATAAATCTATATTAATAATTGATCAAAGAAATTAATCTGATATTTGATGTGTACAATATTTTTCCCTTCAGTTTTAATTTGAAGTTGTTCATGAGTTCTAAAATATCTTCTTAGAGAAAACTTGAGCAAAGGATATATTTAGCCATAAAGTTTAAAACTGTGGAGGAAGCATAATGGCATTGAGTAATTTGATACATCAAATTTATCTCAAAAAACTGTTCGTTTACCAATATTAGGTTTTTCAAAAATTGTACTTTGAAATATGTAAATGAAATTATGCTTGTATCAGTGCACACTACTCATACTCTTGACATTTTTTTTATACAAGCTTTCGAATTTTTTCGAACATTTATTATTACGTTTTTAGGAGTAATATATGGCTAATTATTTGATATGGTAAATGGTAAGCATAGAAGCAACGTGTTGTGATCATTGTAATTATATAATATGATACAGAGATTTATAAAATAATCTAAAGTCATGTACAGTATCATCTTTTAAACGAATTTATTTTTCATTCAATAAAAAAAACTTACGATGTATATATTGGGGTTAGTTCGTCAATCATGGCCTCTTGCAAACCTTTCTCTCGCAAGTTTTCTACCACTTGTGTATGCATACGAATACGGATGGTTGAGCCAGCATGAACCTTCGCATGGTGGAAACCAATGGCTACCACGTTCGTTTGATGTCAACGACGTGAAGAGTTTGTGGGATCCGGCGTTTGTATAAGTGTAACACGGTGCAGGAAGAGGGGAACGAGAACGCGTTGTATGATGCACATTCACACGTTGTGAGCCCTTTACTTTAACCAGTCTGCAGTTTCTGGGTTGTGGTGCAACCCATGAAGCCCAAATCCAATCTCAGATCTTCTGCCCTGATCCGAAGCACGATCATGAACGATAGACAAGAACGGAAAACGACATATTCAAAAATTCCAGCCCAGATTCCAAAATTCAGATTCGATCTTTGACTATTAAACTGTTGTTTGTCATGCTTTTGGTCAAAAGCCTCGATGGGATGGAAACTACGCAGCTGCACTCTCAATTCTGTCTGGCCTGTTCACGAACAGCTTCTCACGAGCAGTCGGTCAGAATGACGACTGTGGTGTGGCAAACCGGGTTCTGAACTTCGTATTGCGTTCTTCATATGAGCTGCGCATGCATTTACTCTGGAGAGGTCGTTGGCTTGTGAACTCATCACGATGGGGCGTCAATCACATGAGGAGGTGACAGGGAGAGTCTGTCTCTCAGTGGTGCTCGCTTATCTGTCACAAACTCAGCTACCTCGGCCATGAGTTTTGGTCTCAGATCATGGTCACGAACGGTGTAAAATCCGTGCTCTGCCTGGTCATATTTCACCAGCTTGATATTCGTATCAGTCCTTTTGACTGCTTCATAGTACGCAAGTTGCCAGTCTCGCAGCAGATCTCGTCCTCCGACAACCACGAGAGTGTCAGGAAGCGAGAACTGCCGACCTTGGCTAAGCAGTGTGGGCACGACATGGCAGAAAGGGTGGCTCCTGTCGGCCCCTCGAGGGAGGCATACTTTCCAGAAGAAATCTATCATGCAAGTTCTAGGCCGGTCAAGTTCACCGCTCTCGGCTGGAGTCCGACCCATGCCTCCGAATGCAGGTTGAATTAGAATAAGCCCCGCGAAGTGCAGCGGATAGGAAGGGTGTGGAGAAAAAATAGTCAAAATATTGTGCACTAAGTTGCCTCCTGCGCTGTCTCCTACCAGAAATACTCGGTCGAAGTCGGCGTGCGAGGTGAGCCATGCTTCTGATGTGGACTCGACATCTTCTTCTTCTTCGTCGACAGTGCGCTCCAGTTCAGGAGCTTGCGCTGCTGCAGAGTCCAGCTCAGAGTCGACGAGAGCTGCATCATTGTCCTTGGTGCTACGTTTTGAGTGAGATAGAAGCCACTCCAGCGACGCGAGAGCATCTTCGAACTGGCCAGGCAGGGGATGCTCTGGCGCCATTCTGTACCCACAGGATGCAACAATAACCTCCAAGTCCTTGCACAGATCTTCACAGAAGTCATGAATCAGCTGACAGTCCACACTCAAGAACGAGAATCCTCCTCCGTGGAAGTAGACGAACAATGGCAGCTTGGCCTTGCAGGATCGAGCGATTTCCGGAATGAAAAGTCTAACTCGAAGGTTGTGCTCGTCATCGAGCGTCACATCCTTCGTAGCGACCCCGTTCACGAAATTCGAATTTGCCATCACCAGAGGCAGCGAGGGCCTTTGGAGAGAGAAATCACTGTGGAGAACAACATCTTGAAGGCCATGGTGGACGAACGTAAGATCGAACTTAGGCAGACCACTCGCTGCATCGAAAAACTCCTCGAACAGCTCGAAGTGCTCCAAGTGCTCGTAATCAGAAGTGGCGTCCTCTGCTGCGTCCATTTCGTGAACGAAGACTCGCTACGACGGCACGAGCAGAAACAGAAGACTTAGCTCTTGCATATTGCCAACAGGCGATCCATTGGTGAACTCATGATCAACGAGACCACCTCCCTGCGATACATGCCGAACAACGTCAATAACTCAGTATTATAGGGGGTCGAGAGATTCCCATTAAAGCTTTGTTTAAATTCGACTGAAATTCTGGAACAGAGCAAAAAATATACTTGGGAATCAGCTATTAGAGCTAGCGCCAGGCTCGATTTGTAAGCGTGAATAGGCAAGGCAGGCACTCCAAAGCTCTCTGTGCAGAAAAACCCTCTGATTGTGGCTGACAACTGGCGCTCGAAAAGCTGGTGAATGCTATGGCGGCATCTGAAGTCATGCACTGGCTTCCGACAAGGAATAGGGAGCATCCGGTAAGCTTTTGGAGTGTAAGAGATCCAGTCTCCCACACACACGGTGCTCGGTGCTCGAACGATTTTCTACATGTGCAAATCGGTATCATGCACTGCAAGTAAAATCTAACCAATAAATCTGCAGCAGAACTTACTCATTTTCTCATAAATCACTTACGAATCCGCCAATAAACCGAGCCTGTCAAAGCACGTCAGCAAGTGATTCTGAAAATCCTGAAGCTATCTGCTAAGGCCTCGATCGCAGCGATGATCATAATCATACCGTTGACAACGAGAAAGCGACTCGGTGGCCGCCATAATCTAATGATTTCTTTCTCCGAGCTATGATCCCACACGACCCGGTGGAGAAGCTTTGGTCCTGCGAAGATAATGCGAAACGTCCATCAAGCTCAATCTTCGTCAGTCAGCAGAGAGAGAAAATGTCCCACAGCTCCAGATATTTGGCAACGGCGTCAAGTGTCTGGTCATGAGATCCGATTTTGTCCTGTCGTCTAGCTCGCGAGTGGTACACCCACCCTCATATCAGGTAGATTGGGAGCTCGACCTTGAAGCTGCAACAGAATTCACTGTACTCGCTTCAGAACTCGGAATCCGGCATGACTTCTCGATCACTCAGGCAGCATCCCTCGGTGTGCTGCTGTAATCAAGCGATGGCGCAATGCAGCATGTGCAGAGTAACAACGTCGAATCTTGCTCCTTGAGCTTTTTTGTTTCAGCTTTATTAGCACGCTTTACGCACCCATTCTGCTTTGTCCGAGCTACGGAGCAGTCTTTTACCCAGATCAAGATGCTCTGGTCTCTCTATCCAAGATCCTCGCAGCTCAGTTATTATTACTTTAACCAGGTAATGACCAGCCTGCGGCGAAAAGAACAAATATCGGGGCAAAAAGTACATCATGGGCAAGTGTTCACATGAATAAGGTGAGATTGTATCCATCTGACTGAAAGGTCCGAGCTATTACTACATATTCGTAACGCTTGGGCTCGTGTTGAGCTTGACGCTGCCGCTAAGGTCTAGACTTACGAAGTCCCTGCACTTAGAATATACACACCGCCTCCTTATCATCAATCACTACGTGATGTTCTAAGGTTTCACCGGAGTATCACGAGTGCAATTTTTTGTATAGCCTATGCAACCTAGTATAATATTATGCCAGAACGATAAAGCACATACATAGATGGTTTTCTCATACATTGCCACTCAACGATGTTTCGAAAGCTCGTAGGTTTTGGGGGAGTGGAAGATTTTTGGAAATTTCTGAGGTTCTGTGCCGACTACCCCTTGCTACTTGCTAAGACCGTATGCATTCTACGTTATATACTAACGTTCACTAGAGAGCATTGTACGTGAGCCTTCTCGTCTTTTCCTTTGGCCTTGGATTGGAATTGTATCTTACTGTGTCGCCTTGTGTTTTTGGTTTTTTTCTTCTTTGTCTTTTTCTTCCCCAATAACCATATTATGTCCACTTATATCGTCTTGATTTATTGACAAAGACGATGACTTGCAAAGGTACAGTAGCAAACTTCTTCACAAGAACCACTAGCTGCAATCCGAGACCAAGTCTGAACTCTTTTAAAAACCTCTGAAATCAAAGTTCGATCTGAGACCTTGATTATCAGAGAGTGTCTGCATGGGACGAATATACTGGAAAACTTTAGTAGACCAGGCATGAAGATCAAACCAGTAGAATATTACTGTGAACTTCCTGTTCGAGATCGGCCGACAAAAGGATGCGTGAACAAGACGCACTTCACTTTGGAGTTTTGATTTGTAACCCAAGTTAGTATTTAGATTCCCAGTTTTTACAACATAGCTAATCAGAGGTCGGATCCAAGCGAATGATGAAAATCTAGCAAAGCTGAAGATTCTTGCTTTCAAGCTACTTACTTGTAAGCAACAGAGCTAGATTCTAGCGGCCAGAAAAGCAGTTCTGTCTGCTTTGGCTCAGACGCGAATATAAACCACGTGTTAACCTTCTGCTGCAAGAGCAGTAGCTAGAGTGGAGAGATATAACATGCTTGTGGGAGTTCTTGGTCCTACCTAACGATACAAGACGGTGTAATACCTGGATGGTGTTCTACTTGCCAGCAGGAATGTACCCGATCGAACCTTATCCACAGTAGAAAGCCTATGAAGAACCTTGCAGCTGAAGGTGAGGTTTAGCAGCAGATATGGAAACGGGGTAAACAATATTTGGCATCTCCACGTTTGTGTGGTTGCTATTCTCTAATATTTTTCGCTTCTTGTGAATAAATAGACAGACTAGCAAAAGTCTGAAGTCAAAACTTCTGTCAAATATGGGTTTCAGCTTCCAAAGTTGCAGGCATGCTTTTGCACTGGTCAGCCCTTCTGTGGTGAGGTGAAGATGCCTCCAAATATCTTCGTAGCTATGTCGCCATATCCTCCAGCTTTTGCACCTTGCATCCCACATTTACAGATTGGGAGTTTCCTGGATGCCTCGAAATTGAATAGACAAACTTTCGGTGGGGCTCAGCTATTCCAAGTTCTCACTGCGACGCCATCCGGGCCTTCTCATCCAATGAAGGCTTGAAGTTGTTTTCTTTCACTTTACATTATCAAGTTACATTGCTTCCACATTTTTTTATGTATGTAAAGTCAATTACGTAATTAGTATATATGATCACTTCATGTCAAACCCGTGTTAATAGGTGTTTGGAACGCTGAGATGCGGTGTTTGATACGTTAGAAGACAGTGGATACTTCACATGAATATAGCTATTGCAAAATACTCCACGCTCCTTGGGCCTCTTGTTTTATTGATATTATCATTGCTTTGACATTATATATGTATACTCATTTCAACTACATCGAATATTTTTCAATAAGATATTTACTGCTGATAAGAGGAAAAGAACGACTGGTGAAAAAACAATGAAGAGTGATATACTTTTTACAATGTCTTGCAATCACCCTTTGATTAAGGATGATAATGTTGTGATTCACGATGATGAAGATATTATGGTAGTCGTAATAGTGACATACACTATTAAGTGATAAACATTCATCTAATCATTCGAAAGTGACGGAAAGGTGAAGCAAGCTCTTTGATTATTGCTTAATGTAGAGATGTACATTTCTAATTGCAAGCTATATGATATTCAAGTCAATTTAGATATTTAATGATTATGTTTCAACATAGTAAAAATATGGCTCTAAGTAATGCATCTTGTACGTCAACCTATATAACATTTATTCTATATTTATTGCTGACATCATTTTCATTTATTTATTTATTTAAAATTTACTTTTCTATTGTCTTCTGTAATTCTTATCAATATATTACTAGAATTACTTTTTAATTTCTTAGAGCAAATTTTACAGATATATCTTCTTGTGGCTCACTTTCGATTCGGCTTCAGAGTAGATGGGAAAAAATATAACACTTTTATTACGCGCAACAAAAAATTAAGAACAAAGTTTTGCATAAGATTAACTGCGCCATCATGACCTAAAGAAGATGAACAAGGAACATGGAAGCTGAGGTTTCTGTAATGGATCACAAAAGGTACAAAGAAAGAAGATGTACAAGTAAGGCGTTCCTCGTCAAAGCGGCAAGAGCCAAATAAAGTCTTACCGCCGTAGCAAAGAACTGATGTCATCATGAGTGTGGAGATTGCCCACGATGTCGCTGGAAGGAAACTCCCGCCCCTCAAACTTCTTGGTACAAACTCTAGTTTATAATCTGCACGCGAATCATCGAATACTTGTGAGTGTTTGCGCTATGCCACATAAGACTGGAGTTTGAAAAAAAAGTTACTTGGAGGGAGGAATCCAAGCATTGGACCATGGCTTGAACGGAGAGACATAGGAGACTTTAAACAAAACATAAATGCATCTGGAATTCGGAAAAACATTGGACAAACTTAAAAGAGATGCAAATGAAATATGTGCATTAATTCTGCAGAGTATTGCATACACAATTAAAGGAATCAGTAACGTTATATTTCCCCAGCTTTAAATAATTTGAATTTGGCAACAAAGCAGGAAACGCCCAGCTTGTTTTATACTGTTTTCTCTTATTTGGTAGACTCCATCTCCTGCTTACTAGAAACTTATTTGTCTAAGCCGTTAGTACTTTTTCATCGACCTACAGAATATCAGTTGATTCTCTATCGTAATGAAAATGAACCAACTTTCTAAATCTAGTATGGAGTTTAATTTCAATCATTTTGATATCTCAGTTTGATCATTTGCCAGCTCAAAGTTGCCACTTGAGATTTATTAATTACTGAGGCTTCTCTCTATTCACAGAATAGCAGAAGGGGAAACATTCAATTATCAAGTTCGTAACTGAATAGCCAAAGTTCTCTTCAACATAAATTGCAACGTGACACTTGGTTATTTTTTATTACACAGAGTTTTCACTGTATGGAAAACAATATGCTGTCGCAGTACAGTGCGGTAACTTGGATGCCTACGAGGAAGAGAACCATTCACCAGCTGAGTTAGTCTTACTGCTTTGCATTCATGACAGACACTATCACTGTGGTGAAAATCAGGAAGAAACAGAGGCAGAGAGAGAGAGAGATATGTAGCTTCTTGGTGTCTATGAGTGATCTATGTCGTCTTCTATCTCCTTACAGGTCCAGAAACTGCAGCTTTCAATAGCCAGTGATGTCGGTGGGATGTCCACACAAAAATCTTCTCCTGTCTGTCTGTCTTTCGCTCGCAACGACTGCAAGCTGATCTTTATCTGACTGAATGGAAAGAATATGTTCCAACATATTCTCTCGTCTCAGTCGGATGAAGAAATGTAAAACACAAGAAGTATGTGAGAGCCCCCTACAACAATGCTCTCACGCAATTCTTGTGTTTTACATGCCAACACAGTGAATTGAGTACACTGTTAAAGCTTCGTTAAACTCGACGTTCACGACATGATGGTGGACTTCGCAGACGATCTGTCCCTGTCACAACGCGAATAAGTAAAGAGCAGAAGTATTACAGCTGCGATAAGTACAAACTGTAGCATCAGAAACTTCTGTGCATCGAGGAAGTTTGAAGTTTCGAGTCATACCATCTTCTTATGGAACATGTCATGTGCAATCATACGGTGCAAGAACCAAGAGAAATTACAACCGAGATGTTATCATTTGAGGAGATCCCGCCATACCACATTTCCGTACCACATCTAGGAGTTGGAGCCTGGAAGAGTGTTAATACCTGTTTGGATTGTTGTCCTATGCACTACAATGACCATTTCACAACAGATCACCATGCCCTTGGCTTTCTTGTGGCACTTGTGCCCTTTATTACTCATCACAAATTATATGAGGAACTTGGAAGTGCTATGCGAAGAACCGAAAGTGGCAAGAGTATATGGTAAAAGGTCAAGCCCGGGGAACAAAAGGTTGAAAAATTCAATACAAGCGAAAAACCAAAAACAAAGGAAAAGACCCCAAATATCAATATCTAGGTAGGAAGGAGAGAAGGAAAAAGTAGATGTGCAAAATTGCATTAGAAACAAAATAAAACGTTATGTACCGAAGAGTAAATGAAAACTCAAACTTGTGAAGAAAAGAAACCCTCATGGTGAGATGGATATGATCACTAACATGTTGGAAAATAAAACCTACTCCTACAGGGTTTATAAACAGTTTAGGGTTGATAAACAGCTAAACCTTTCCAACCTCCGTAACAATGCTGAGATGTCCATAGT